ACGACCAAAATTGGGCTAGTTACATAATGACGATCTACCGCAGTAAAAATTGTCATTTTTTTTGCACACCACTGTATCTCTGATTTCGCGGTAAATAACTAATACATATTTCTTGGAACAATTATGGGAAAGAATTATTCGAACTGAAATAAGTTTATTAAATACTGTATGTTTCCTAATTATGAAAATTTAATAGATACATTTAGATTTCTACATAAGTTCTTTTTTTTACTATTTTTTTTTATTTGCAATATTTAAGAATTAAAAAATGATAAACTAAGTTGACAAAAACAATTTACTCGAATCGTTACAATAGTTGTGATTTAGTACGTTAGGATAAAAAACGGAAATCATGTCCATAATTTTCTCACGTAAATTCAATTGCGCCGGATGAGATCCAAAGTAAATTAAACAATGTACATTTTGGTACAATTGTAAAATTGCGGCAGCGGTTTTTCCAAGGCTCTTGAAGCTATTCAAAGATGAGCTGATGGAGAATTCCATCCCTTGTTGACACATTTTGTTAATTGATTAATTTTTTTACGATTTTTTGATCAAATTTAATATGTTTAAGGTTGTTTGTTTTTGGAGCATTAATTTAGTAAGCGATTTTTTTTTAAAAAAAAGATGAGATAACGTGAAGTAAAGTTTAACCTTTCATCGAATGTCTTCAATTTATATTTATTTAAAATCAATAGAATCTTTGGAGTTCATTTAAAACCATGGGGCATAATTTGCACGGCAATTGTCGAAAACTTGGACTAATTAAACGAGTTGGGCGCAAATTTTATTTAATCAAATATTTTTTTAGGGGCCATTCAATCACAAACAATATGCAACAAGTTTATCGGATAATCGAAATGAAGTTACAAATTGTTGTTGATTTTTTGAACCCGAGCCGATATTTTTGGAACCATTCTGTGTTACTTGATTTGGGACGGGCCCCCAAAGAAATATTTCCTTCTTTTTTTTTTTTTTAGGAATATGGACGGGCATTCCTCACGAATTTTTTTTACTAAAAAAAAAAAAATCAAGGGAACTGCTAATTTTCAAAAAATTAAAAATTAAAATTGATAAAGTTAACCAAAAAAGGGTAAGTTGATGCAAAAGAAAAAAAGCCCCTTTATTTTTATTTTTTTTTTTTTATTTCAGAAAAGTGAGATTGTTTCAATATCATATGAGATTCACCCCCTTATTTTTTGCATTTTTTGCATTGTTGTCGATCGTTTTAAAATAAAGGGGCTAACATGTTGTGCAAGGAAACATTATCGTTATTTTCCACATATTTTATGTATCCAATTTGGTGTCATTAATTCAAGTATAAAAAGGAAATCTATAGTAAAAAAAAAAAAAATAAAAATGGATTTTCTGAATAAAAAAAAAATTAATATACGAATAACTGACAGAAATATTAATGAAGTCTAATAAAAATTCGATGACTGTCAAAATTTCGTAGCATAACGTCTCAAATATTATAATATTGGATATATATTAAAAAAGCTTGATTTAACTTTATGTTTATCATTCTCCAAAAAAAAATTAACAGTTCATAAAGCAAATGGCTTACTTAGCCTAAAAAGATCTTTAGAATACTTAAAATTATACTT